TACATTTACTATATTATACCTCACTAATACTGTACATTATATTTCTTATTATACCTCACTATTACTGTACATTATATTTATTATACCACACTATTACTGTACATTTACTATATTATACCTCACTAATACTGTACATTATATTTCTTATTATACCTCACTATTACTGTACATTATATTTATTATACCACACTATTACTGTACATTTACTATATTATACCTCACTAATACTGTACATTATATTTCTTATTATACCTCACTATTACTGTACATTATATTTATTATACCACACTATTACTGTACATTTACTATATTATACCTCACTAATACTGTACATTATATTTCTTATTATACCTCACTATTACTGTACATTATATTTATTATACCACACTATTACTGTACATTTACTATATTATACCTCACTAATACTGTACATTATATTTCTTATTATACCTCACTATTACTGTACATTATATTTATTATACCACACTATTACTGTACAGTTACTATATTATACCTCACTAATACTGTACATTATATTTCTTATTAAACCTCACTATTACTGTACATTATATTTATTATACCACACTATTACTGTACTTTATATTTACTATATTATACCTCATTAATGCTGTACATTATATTAATTATACCACATGATTACTGTACTTTATATTTTTTTTATTATAAAAAAAAAAAAGTTACCTGTGCACTCTCCTTAATCCCTATGTATATTTAGACAAATGGAGGTCATTTAGTTGCTCCAATGGCCATTGGAGGGAATGCCCGCCTGCCAACGTCAAGGCAGACCCCCCTAAGCGGGTCCTAACACTGACCCTTCAGCCTGCTTCCTTGAGCTTCTGGCAAAGATATCTCTAATGAGACAGAGAGGGTTTTTTTTTTTTATATACACAGTATATAAGACCCCTCTTAGAACACCAGTTTAAACCTTTAATAACTGTCAGTTTGTTTTCCTCAGAGCAGGAGTGGTTTTACTGCATGAATACTGTAGCTTCGTGTGGCATTAAACAGATCTCTACCCAGCACTAAGCCTCGGCTCATGTGTGGAGGGTCATGCTAAGCTTGTGTCTACACTCTGCCTGGAAGGATTATTCGCTAACTACTGGGAGAAAGGGAACCCAAGACGGTCAGAGAGGGTTGGACCGTCACAATTGGTGGCAGCGGCGGGATCGTCCCTTTCTAATGATTTATAATTCAAGGCTGAACCTGGAGCATGCATGGAAGCTTTCTACAACCAGCTCAAGCACAACACCCTGAAAGAATTATTGGAGGCTCGAGGGGGCAGCGGCAGCAATAAGACCAAGCGCTGTATTGTAAGCTAACTAATGGAGCTGGACAGGGAAAGCGTGGCTGCGGCAACCCCAGCTGTTCGTGCAGAAGAAAGCAAAGTGGACGAAGGGAACGGCTGGCGCTGTTCGGGCCAAACCCTGCGCCAGAAATCACCCTTCGCATAATTGACAGTGCGAATGAAAATATGAATAAGCGATGAGAATTACAAATCCGCTTAGTGGAACAGTTTCAGCTTTAACCCCAAACTGCAGAAAATTCCCTTCAGCGCATTCAAAGCATTTGAGGAGGCTACAGACTAGATTAATGGCTATTTGGCAGACTTTGAGAGACAATGTGCCTGTGACCTTGTCTGCAGGTAGCACGGTCCTCTAGGGTAAACAACAGGCACAGTCCTTTTAGTTTCATATAATCCAGGAACTTTATTTGTAAGTCCACACAGGAGACAGCAGCAAATGAAAACATATATATAACACAAATCCTTATAAACAAAAACCTAGCTTGTCTGAGCACTTACTAACATCAGGTTCCCTATCTCTCAGGGGTTAAACTAGAACAAAACAATATTGGTTTCACCAACCTAGTGTCTTTGTCAGCTCTGCACTCCAGTGCTCCAAGCCAGCCTTAACTGCTTTCCTTTCTGCACTCCCAGTGCTCAGTCTCCTTGACTCTCTCACTGGAGAGAACAGCCTCTCTCCTACCTGCCTCCAGGGAGGAAGCCAGCAATTCCCCTTTTACCTGCCTAGCAGGGAGGGGTTTATTGCTACAGCTGATTATCTGCAGCTGAGAAGTGGGTTGGAGACAGTTCCAAAAAACTCTGTCCTGGACCTTATTTCTCCCAGTTGTGTATAAACTGAGGAGTGGAGCATTGGCCCACCCTGCTCTCCAAATGCTCCACCCCAGGGGCCCATAACTAAACATAGCTTTGTGTTGCACATCACACATACAACATGTACTTCCCCTGGGGTTAAATGTTAAAGGCCTCTCTGCCTTCACTTTATCACAGTGCCCTACAGAAGATACCAAAGGTGTCCCAGCCACTTTCCAATGAATGGTAGATCGCCTCCTAAATGGTCTCCAGGATTATGCGTGCGCATACCTGGATGACATAGCGATTTTTAGTGAAACCTGGGAGGCCCACTTAGAACATGTAGGGACGGTACTGGATAGAATCCGGGCAGCCGGCTTGACCTTGAAGCCTGACAAGTGTCACATTGGTATGGCGGAGGTGCAGTACTTGGGCCACCGTGTATGATGCGGAAAACAACGGCCGGAGCCCGCTAAGATTGAGGCTGTTGCCAATTGGCCCACCCCCCGTACCAAGACGCAAGTTATGGCTTTCTTAGGGACAGCTGGCTACTACAGACGCTTTGTCCCTGACTATAGCGCCCTGGCCAAACCCCTGACGGACTTGACAAAA